GGGCACCGGCGAAAAGGCGCACGGTCGAAAAGAGCACCGGTCGAAAGCGCACCGGTCGAAAAGGGCACCGGTCGAAAAGGGCACCGGTCGAAAAGCACCGGTCGAAAAGGGCACCGGTCGAAAAGCGCACCGGTCGAAAAGCGCACCGGTCGAAAAGCGCACCGGTCGAAAAGCGCACCGTCGAAAAGCGCACCGGTCGAAAAGCGCACCGGTCGAAAAGCGCACCGGTCGAAAGCGCACCGGTCAAAAGGGCACCGGTCGAAAAGGGCACCGGTCGAAAAGGGCACCGGTCGAAAAGGCACCGGTCGAAAGGCACCGGTCGAAAAGGGCACCGGTGAAAAGGGCACCGGTCGAAAGCGCACCGGTCGAAAAGCCACCGGTCGAAAAGCACCGGTCGAAAAGCGCACCGGTCGAAAAGCGCACCGGTCGAAAAGCGCACCGGTCGAAAAGGCACCGGTCGAAAAGGGCACCGGTCGAAAAGGGCACCGGTCGAAAGGCACCGGTCGAAAAGCACCGGTCGAAAAGCGCACCGGTCGAAAAGGCACGGTCGAAAAGGCACCGGTCGAAAAGGGCACCGGTCGAAAAGGGCACCGGTCGAAAAGGCGCACCGGTCGAAAAGGGCACCGGTCGAAAAGCGCACCGGTCGAAAAGCGCACCGGTCGAAAAGGCACCGGTCGAAAGGGCACCGGTCGAAAAGCGCACCGGTCGAAAAGCGCACCGGTCGAAAAGCCACCGGTCGAAAAGCGCACCGGTCGAAAAGGGCACCGGTCGAAAAGGCACCGGTCGAAAAGGGCACCGGTCAAAAGGGCACCCTCGAAAAGGGCACGGTCGAAAAGGGCACCGGTCGAAAAGCGCACCGGTCGAAAAGCGCACCGGTCGAAAAGCGCACCGGTCGAAAGCGCACCGGTCGAAAAGCGCACCGGTCGAAAAGGCACCGGTCGAAAAGGGCACCGGTCGAAAAGCGCACCGGTCGAAAGCGCACCGGTCGAAAAGGGCACCGGTCGAAAAGGGCACCGGTCGAAAAGCACCGGTCGAAAAGGGCACCGGTCGAAAAGGCACCGGTCGAAAAGCGCACCGGTCGAAAAGGGCACCGGTCGAAAAGGCACCGGTCGAAAAGGGCACCGGTCGAAAAGCGCACCGGTCGAAAAGCGCACCGGTCGAAAAGGCACCGGTCGAAAAGCGCACCGGTCGAAAAGGGCACCGGTCGAAAAGGCACGGTCGAAAGAGGCACCGGTCAAAAAGGGCACCGGTCGAAAAGGCACCGGTCGAAAAGCGCACCGGTCGAAAAGCGCACGGTCGAAAAGCGCACGGTCGAAAAGCGCACCGGTCGAAAAGGCACCGTCGAAAAGCGCACCGGTCGAAAAGGCACCGGTCGAAAAGGGCACCGGTCGAAAAGGCACCGGTCGAAAAGCGCACCGGTCGAAAAGGGCACGGTCGAAAAGGCACCGGTCGAAAAGCGCACCGGTCGAAAAGCGCACCGGTCGAAAAGCGCACCGGTCGAAAGGCGCACCGGTCGAAAAGCGCACCGGTCGAAAAGCGCACCGGTCGAAAATCGCACCGGTCGAAAAGGGCACCGGTCGAAAAGGGCACCGGTCGAAAAGGGCACCGGTCGAAAAGGGCACCGGTCGAAAAGCGGCACCGGTCGAAAAGGGCACCGGTCGAAAAGGGCACCGGTCGAAAAGCGCACCGGTCGAAAAGCGCACCGGTCGAAAGCGCACCGGTCGAAAAGCGCACCGGGTCGAAAAGCGCACCGGTCGAAAATCGCACCGGTCGAAAAGCGCACCGGTCGAAAAGGGCACCGGTCGAAAAGGCACCGGTCGAAAAGGCACCGGTCAAAGGGCACCGGTCGAAAAGGCACGGTCGAAAAGGGCACCGGTCGAAAAGCGCACCGGTCGAAAAGCGCACCGGTCGAAAAGCGCACCGGTCGAAAGGCGCACCGGTCGAAAAGCGCACCGGTCGAAAAGCGCACCGGTCGAAAAGGGCACCGGTCGAAAAGCGCACCGGTCGAAAAGCGCACCGGTCGAAAAGGGCACCGGTCGAAAAGGGCACCGGTCGAAAAGCGCACCGGTCGAAAAGGGCACCGGTCAAAAGGGCACCGGTCGAAAAGCGCACCGGTCGAAAAGGCACCGGTCGAAAAGGCACCGGTCGAAAAGGGCACCGGTCGAAAAGCGCACCGGTCGAAAAGGCACCGGTCGAAAAGGGCACCGGTCGAAAAGGGCACGGTCGAAAAGGCACCGGTCGAAAAGGGCACCGGTCGAAAAGGCACCGGTCGAAAGGGCACCGGTCAAAAGGCACCGGTCGAAAAGGGCACCGGTCGAAAAGCGCACCGGTCGAAAAGCGCACCGGTCGAAAAGCGCACCGGTCGAAAAGCGCACCGGTCGAAAAGGGCACCGGTCGAAAAGGGCACCGGTCGAAAAGGGCACCGGTCGAAAAGGCACCGGTCGAAAAGGCACCGGTCGAAAAGGGCACCGGTCGAAAAGGCACCGGTCGAAAAGGCACCGGTCGAAAAGCGCACCGGTCGAAAAGCGCACCGGTCGAAAAGCGCACGGTCGAAAGCGCACCGGTCGAAAAGCGCACCGGTCGAAAAGCGCACCGGTCGAAAAGCGCACCGGTCGAAAAGCGCACCGGTCGAAAAGGGCACCGGTCGAAAAGCGCACCGGTCGAAAAGGGCACCGGTCAAAAGGGCACCGGTCGAAAAGGGCACCGGTCGAAAAGGCACCGGTCGAAAAGCGCACCGGTCGAAAAGCGCACCGGTCGAAAGCGCACCGGTCGAAAAGCGCACCGGTCGAAAAGCGCACCGGTCGAAAAGCGCACCGGTCGAAAAGGCACCGGTCGAAAAGGCACCGGTCGAAAAGGGCACCGGTCGAAAAGGGCACCGGTCGAAAGGGCACGGTCGAAAAGGCACCGGTCGAAAAGCGCACCGGTCGAAAAGCGCACCGGTCGAAAAGCGCACCGGTCGAAAAGCGCACCGGTCGAAAAGCGCACCGGTCGAAAAGCGCACCGGTCGAAAAGCGCACCGGTCGAAAAGCGCACCGGTCGAAAAGCGCACCGGTCGAAAAGGGCACCGGTCGAAAAGGCACCGGTCGAAAAGGGCACCGGTCGAAAAGCGCACCGGTCGAAAAGCGCACCGGTCGAAAAGCGCACGGTCGAAAAGGCACCGGTCGAAAAGGGCACCGGTCGAAAAGGGCACCGGTCAAAAGGCACCAGTCGAAAAGGGCACCGGTCGAAAAGGGCACCGGTCGAAAAGCGCACCGGTCGAAAAGCGCACCGGTCGAAAGCGCACCGGTCGAAAAGCGCACCGGTCGAAAAGCGCACCGGTCGAAAAGGCACCGGTCGAAAAGCGCACCGGTCGAAAGGGCACCGGTCGAAAAGGCACCGGTCGAAAAGGGCACCGGTCGAAAAGGCACCGGTCGAAAAGGGCACGGTCGAAAAGGGCACCGGTCGAAAAGCGCACCGGTCGAAAAGCGCACCGGTCGAAAAGCGCACCGGTCGAAAGCGCACCGGTCGAAAAGCGCACCGGTCGAAAAGCGCACCGGTCGAAAAGCGCACCGGTCGAAAAGGGCACCGGTCGAAAAGGGCACCGGTCGAAAAGGGCACCGGTCGAAAAGCGCACCGGTCGAAAAGCGCACCGGTCGAAAAGCGCACCGGTCGAAAAGGGCACGGTCGAAAAGGGCACCGGTCGAAAAGGGCACCGGTCGAAAAGGGCACCAGTCGAAAAAGGCACGGTCGAAAAGGGCACCGGTCGAAAAGCGCACCGGTGAAAAGCGCACCGGTCGAAAAGCGCACCGGTCGAAAGCGCACCGGTCGAAAAGCGCACCGGTCGAAAAGCGCACCGGTCGAAAATCGCACCGGTCGAAAAGCGCACCGGTCGAAAAGGGCACCGGTCGAAAAGGCACCGGTCGAAAAGGGCACCGGTCAAAAGGGCCACCGTCGAAAAGGGCACGGTCGAAAAGGGCACCGGTCGAAAAGCGCACCGGTCGAAAAGCGCACCGGTCGAAAAGCGCACCGGTCGAAATGCGCACCGGTCGAAAAGCGCACCGGTCGAAAAGCGCACCGGTCGAAAATCGCACCGGTCGAAAAGCGCACCGGTCGAAAAGGGCACCGGTCGAAAAGGCACCGGTCGAAAAGGGCACCGGTCGAAAAGGCACCGGTCGAAAAGGGCACCGGTCGAAAAGGGCACCGGTCGAAAAGCGCACCGGTCGAAAAGCGCACCGGTCGAAAGCGCACCGGTCGAAAAGCGCACCGGTCGAAAAGCACCGGTCGAAAAGCGCACCGGTCGAAAAGCGCACCGGTCGAAAAGGCACCGGTCGAAAAGGGCACCGGTCGAAAAGGCACCGGTCGAAAAGGGCACACGGTCGAAAAGGGCACCGGTCGAAAAGGGCACCGGTCGAAAAGCGCACCGGTCGAAAACGCACCGGTCGAAAAGCGCACCGGTCGAAAGCGCACCGGTCGAAAAGCGCACCGGTCGAAAAGCGCACCGGTCGAAAGCGCACCGGTCGAAAAGCGCACCGGTCGAAAAGGGCACCGGTCGAAAAGGGCACCGGTCGAAAAGGGCACCGGTCGAAAAGGGCACCGGTCGAAAAGGGCACCGGTCGAAAAGGGCACCGGTCGAAAAGCGCACCGGTCGAAAAAGCGCACCGGTCGAAAAGCGCACCGGTCGAAAAGCGCACCGGTCGAAAAGCGCACCGGTCGAAAATCGCACCGGTCGAAAAGCGCACCGGTCGAAAAGGGCACCGGTCGAAAAGGGCACCGGTCGAAAAGGGCACCGGTCCAAAAGGGCACCACTCGAAAAGCGCACGGTCGAAAAGGGCACCGGTCGAAAAGCGCACCGGTCGAAAAGGGCACCGGTCGAAAACGCACCGGTCGAAAAGCGCACCGGTCGAAAAGGGCACCGGTCGAAAAGGCACCGGTCGAAAAGGGCACCGGTCAAAAGGCACCTCGAAAAGGGCACCGGTCGAAAAGGGCACGGTCGAAAAGCGCACCGGTCGAAAAGCGCACCGGTCGAAAATCGCACCGGTCGAAAAGCGCACCGGTCGAAAAGGGCACCGGTCGAAAAGGGCACCGGTCGAAAAGGGCACCGGTCCAAAAGGGCACCACTCGAAAAGGGCACGGTCGAAAAGGGCACCGGTCGAAAAGGCACCGGTCGAAAAAGCGCACCCGGTCGAAAAGCGCACCCGGTCGAAAAGCGCACCGGTCGAAATGCGCACCGGTCGAAAAGCGCACCAGTCGAAAAGCGCACCAGGGGAAAAGCGCACCGGTGAAAAAGCGCATTGGTCCAAAAGGGCACCGGTCGAAAAGGGCACCGGTCGAAAAGCGCACCGGTCGAAAATCGCACCGGTCGAAAAGCGCACCGGTCGAAAAGGGCACTGGTCGAAAAGGGCACCGGTCGAAAAGGGCACCGGTCCAAAAGGGCACCAGTCGAAAAGGGCACCGGTCGAAAAGGGCACCGGTCGAAAAGCGCACCGGTCGAAAAGCGCACCGGTCGAAAAGCGCACCGGTCGAAAAGCGCACCGGTCGGAAAAGCGCACCGGTCGAAAAAAGCCAGGGAAAAGCGCACCGGTTGAAAAGCGCACCGGTCCAAAAGGGCACCGGTCGAAAAGGGCACCGGTCGAAAAGCGCACCAGGGGAAAAGCGCACCGGTCGAAAAGCGCACCGGTCCAAAAGGGCACCGGTCCAAAAGGGCACCGGTCGAAAAGTGCACCGGTCGAAAAGCGCACCGGTCGAAAAGGGCACCGGTCCAAAAGGGCACCGGTCGAAAAGCGCACCGGTCGAAAAGGGCACCGGTCGAAAAGGGCACCGGTCGAAAAGGGCACCGGTCGAAAAGCGCACCGGTCGAAAAGGGCACGGGTCCAATAGGGCACAGGTCGAAAAGGGCACCTGTTGGAAAGGGCACCGGTCGAAATGGGCACCGGTCGAAAAGCGCACCGGTCGAAAAGCGCACCGGTCGAAAAGCGCACGGGTCGAAAAGCGCACCGGTCGAAAAGCGCACCGGTCGAAAAGGCACCGGTAGAAAAGGGCACCGGTCGAAAAGGGCACCGGTCGAAAAAGCAGTCGAAAAGGCACCGTCGAAAACGGGCACCGGATGAAAAGCGCACCGGTCGAAATGCGCACCTCTCGAAAAGCGCACCGGTCGAAAAGCGCACCGGTCGAAAAGCGCACCGGTCGAAAAGCGCACCGGTCGAAAAGCTCACCGGTCGAAAAGGGCACCGGTCGAAAAGCGCACCGGTCGAAAAGCGCACCGGTCGAAAAGCGCACCGGTCGAAAAGCCCACCGATCGAAAAGCGCGCCGGTCGAAATGCGCACCGGTCGAAAAAGCGCACCGGTCGAAAAGCGCACCGGTCGATAAGGGCACCGGTAGAAAAGGGCACCGGTCGAAAAGGCACCGGTCGAAAAGGGCACGGTCGAAAAGGGCACCAGATGAAATGCGCACCGGTCGAAAAGCGCACCGGTCCAAAAGGCACCGGTCGAAAGTGCACCGGTCGAAAAGCGCACCGGTCGAAAGGGCACCGGTCAAAGGGACCGGTCGAAAAGCGCACCGGTCGAAAAGGGCACCGGCGAAGGGACGGTCGAAAAGGGCACCGGTCGAAAAAGCGCACCGGTCGAAAAGGGCACGGGTCCAATCGGGCACAGGTCGAAAAGGGCACCTGTTGGAAAGGGCACCGGTCGAAATGGGCACCGGTCGAAAAGCGCACCGGTCGAAAAGCGCACCGGTCGAAAAGCGCACGGGTCGAAAAGCGCACCGGTCGAAAAAGCGCACGGGTCGAAAAGCGCACCGGTCGAAAAGCGCACGGGTCGAAAAGCGCACCGCTCGAAAAGCGCACCGGTCGAAAAGGGCACCGGTAGAAAAGGGCACCGGTCGAAAAGGGCACCGGTCGAAAAGGGCACCGTCGAAAACGGCACCGGATGAAAAGCGCACCGGGTCGAAAAGCGCACCTCTGAAAAGCGCACCGGTCGAAAAGCGCACCGGTCGAAAAGCGCACCGGTCGAAAAGCGCACCGGTCGAAAAGCTCACCGGTCGAAAAGGCACCGGTCGAAAAGCGCACCGGTCGAAAAGCGCACCGGTCGAAAAGCGCACCGGTCGAAAAGCCCACCGATCGAAAAGCGCACCGGTCGAAATGCGCACCGGTCAAAAAGCGCACTGGTCGAAAAGCGCACCGGTCGAAAAGGGCACCGGTAGAAAAGGGCACCGGTCGAAAAGGGCACCGGTCGAAAGGGCACGGTCGAAAAGGGCACCGGAATGAAATGCGCACCGGTCGAAAAGCGCACCGGTCGAAAAGCGCACCGGTCGAAAAGCGCACCGGTCGAAAAGCGCACCGGTCGTAATGCGCACCGGTCGAAAAGCGCACCAGTCGAAAAGCGCACCGGTCGAAAAGGGCACCGGTCGAAAAGGGCACGGGTCCAATAGGGCACAGGTCGAAAAGGGCACCGGTTGGAAAGGGCACCGGTCAAAAAGGGCACCGGTCGAAAAGCGCACCGGTCGAAAAGCGCACCGGTCGAAAAGGGCACGGGTCCAATAGGGCACAGGTCGAAAAGGGCACCTGTTGGAAAGGGCACCGGTCGAAAAGCTCACCGGTCGAAAAGGGCACCGGTCGAAAAGCGCACCAGTCGAAAAGCGCACAGGTCGAAAAGCTCACTGGTCGAAAAGCGCACCGATCGAAAAGCGCACCGGTCGAAATGCGCACCTTTCGAAAAGCGCACCGGTAGAAAAGGGCACTGGTCGAAAAGGGCCACGGTTGAAAAGGGCACCGGTCGAAAAGCGCACCGGTCGAAAAGCGCACCGGTCGAAAAGCGCACCGGTAGAAAAGGGCACTGGTCGAAAAGGGCCACGGTTGAAAAGCGCACCGGTCGAAAAGCGCACCGGTCGAAAAGCGCACCGGTCGAAATGCGCACCGGTCGAAAAGCGCACCGGTCGAAAAGCGCACCAGGGGAAAAGCGCACCGGTTGAAAAGCGCACCGGTCCAAAAGGGCACCGGTCGAAAAGGGCACCGGTCGAAAAGCGCACCAGGGGAAAAGCGCACCGGTCGAAAAGCGCACCGGTCCAAAAGGGCACCGGTCCAAAAGGGCACCGGTCGAAAAGTGCACCGGTCGAAAAGCGCACCGGTCGAAAAGGGCACCGGTCCAAAAGGGCACCGGTCGAAAAGCGCACCGGTCGAAAAGGGCACCGGTCGAAAAGGGCACCGGTCGAAAAGGGCACCGGTCGAAAAGCGCACCGGTCGAAAAGGGCACGGGTCCAATAGGGCACAGGTCGAAAAGGGCACCTGTTGGAAAGGGCACCGGTCGAAATGGGCACCGGTCGAAAAGCGCACCGGTCGAAAAGCGCACCGGTCGAAAAGCGCACGGGTCGAAAAGCGCACCGGTCGAAAAGCGCACCGGTCGAAAAGGGCACCGGTAGAAAAGGGCACCGGTCGAAAAAGGGCACCGGTCGAAAAGGGCACCGTCGAAAACGGCACCGGATGAAAAGCGCACCGGTCGAAAAGCGCACCTCTCGAAAAGCGCACCGGTCGAAAAGCGCACCGGTCGAAAAGCGCACCGGTCGAAAAGCGCACCGGTCGAAAAGCTCACCGGTCGAAAAGGGCACCGGTCGAAAAGCGCACCGGTCGAAAAGCGCACCGGTCGAAAAGCGCACCGGTCGAAAAGCCCACCGATCGAAAAGCGCGCCGGTCGAAATGCGCACCGGTCGAAAAGCGCACCGGTCGAAAAGCGCACCGGTCGATAAGGGCACCGGTAGAAAAGGGCACCTGTCGAAAAGGGCACCGGTCGAAAAGGGCACGGTCGAAAAGGGCACCAGATGAAATGCGCACCGGTCGAAAAGCGCACCGGTCCAAAAGGGCACCGGTCGAAAAGTGCACCGGTCGAAAAGCGCACCGGTCGAAAAGGGCACCGGTCCAAAAGGGCACCGGTCGAAAAGCGCACCGGTCGAAAAGGGCACCGGTCGAAAAGGGCACCGGTCGAAAAGGGCACCGGTCGAAAAGCGCACCGGTCGAAAAGGGCACGGGTCCAATCGGGCACAGGTCGAAAAGGGCACCTGTTGGAAAGGGCACCGGTCGAAATGGGCACCGGTCGAAAAGCGCACCGGTCGAAAAGCGCACCGGTCGAAAAGCGCACGGGTCGAAAAGCGCACCGGTCGAAAAGCGCACGGGTCGAAAAGCGCACCGGTCGAAAAGCGCACGGGTCGAAAAGCGCACCGCTCGAAAAGCGCACCGGTCGAAAAGGGCACCGGTAGAAAAGGGCACCGGTCGAAAAAGGGCACCGGTCGAAAAGGGCACCGTCGAAAACGGCACCGGATGAAAAGCGCACCGGTCGAAAAGCGCACCTCTCGAAAAGCGCACCGGTCGAAAAGCGCACCGGTCGAAAAGCGCACCGGTCGAAAAGCGCACCGGTCGAAAAGCTCACCGGTCGAAAAGGGCACCGGTCGAAAAGCGCACCGGTCGAAAAGCGCACCGGTCGAAAAGCGCACCGGTCGAAAAGCCCACCGATCGAAAAGCGCACCGGTCGAAATGCGCACCGGTCGAAAAGCGCATTGGTCGAAAAGCGCACCGGTCGAAAAGGGCACCGGTAGAAAAGGGCACCGGTCGAAAAGGGCACCGGTCGAAAAGGGCACGGTCGAAAAGGGCACCGGATGAAATGCGCACCGGTCGAAAAGCGCACCGGTCGAAAAGCGCACCGGTCGAAAAGCGCACCGGTCGAAAAGCGCACCGGTCGTAATGCGCACCGGTCGAAAAGCGCACCCGTCGAAAAGCGCACCGGTCGAAAAGGGCACCGGTCGAAAAGGGCACGGGTCCAATAGGGCACAGGTCGAAAAGGGCACCGGTTGGAAAGGGCACCGGTCAAAAAGGGCACCGGTCGAAAAGCGCACCGGTCGAAAAGCGCACCGGTCGAAAAGGGCACGGGTCCAATAGGGCACAGGTCGAAAAGGGCACCTGTTGGAAAGGGCACCGGTCGAAAAGCTCACCGGTCGAAAAGGGCACCGGTCGAAAAGCGCACCAGTCGAAAAGCGCACAGGTCGAAAAGCTCACTGGTCGAAAAGCGCACCGATCGAAAAGCGCACCGGTCGAAATGCGCACCTTTCGAAAAGCGCACCGGTAGAAAAGGGCACTGGTCGAAAAGGGCCACGGTTGAAAAGGGCACCGGTCGAAAAGGGCACGGTCGAAAACGGCACCGGTCGAAACGGGCACCGGTCGAAACGGGCACCGGTCGAAACGGGCACCGGTCGAAAACGGCACCGAAAAGCGCACCGGTCGAAAAGCGCACCGGTCGAAAAGCGCACCGGTCGAAAAGCGCACCGGTCGAAAAGCGCACCGGTCGAAAAGCTCACCGGTCGAAAAGGGCACCGGTCGAAAAGTGCACCGGTCGAAAAGCGCACCGGTCGAAAAGCGCACCGGTCGAAAAGCGCACCGGTCGAAAAGCGCACCGGTCGAAGAGCGCACCGGTGGAAAAGCGCACTGGTCGAAAAGCGCACCGGTCGAAAAGCGCACTGGTCGAAAAGCCCACCGGTCGAAAAGGGCATCGGTCGAAAGGCGCACCGGTTGGAAAGGGCACCGGTCGAAAAGCGCACCGGTCGAAAAGGGCACCGGTCGAAAAGCGCACCGGTCGAAAAGCGCACCGGTCGAAAAGGGCACCGGTCGAAAAGCGCACCGGTCGAAAAGCGCACCGGTCGAAAAGCGCACGGGTTGAAAAGGGCACCGGTCGAAAAGCGCACCGGTCGAAAAGGGCACTGGTCGGAAAGCGCACCGGTCGAAAAGCGCACCGGTCGAAAAGCGCACCGGTCAAAAAGTCCAATCCAAAGTCCCACCATATCCAGTCTATAATCCCACCACCAACCGGTCTAAGCTCCCACCACCATCCGGTCTAAACTCCCACCACCACCCGGTGTAAACTTCCACCACCACCCGGTCTAAACTCCCACCACCATCCGGTCTAAACTCCCAGCACGACTCGGTCTCATCTCCTACCACCACCCGGTCTCAATTCCCACCACCACCCGGTGTAATGTCCCACCACCACCTAGTCTAAACTCACACCACCACCTGTCTATACTCCCACTACCACCCAGTCTAAACTCCCAACACCACCTGATCTTAACTCCCACCACCACCTGGTCTACACACCCACCACCACCCGGTCTAAACTCCCACCACCACCCTGTCTAATTTCCCACCATCACCCATTCTAAACTCCCACCAGCACCCGGTCTAAACTCCCACCATCACGGGTCTAAACTCCCACCACCACCCGGTCTAAACTCCCACCATCACCCCGTCTAAACTCCCACCACCACCCGGTCTAAACTCCCACCACCACCCAGTTCAAACTCCCACCACCACCCGGTCTGAACTCCAACCACCACCGGGTCTAAACTCTCACCACCACCAAGTCTAAACTCCCACCACTACCTGATCATTATTCAAACCACCACCGGGTCTACGCTCCCACCACCACCCGGTCAAGACTCCCACCACCATCCATTCTAAACTCCCACCACCACCCGGTCTAAAGTTTCACCACCAACCGGTCCAAAATCAAACCACCACCCCGTCCAAACTCCCACCACCACACGGTCTAAACTCCCACCAGCACCCAATCCGAACTCCCACCATATCCGGTCTTAAATCCCACCACCAACCAGTCTAGGCTCCCACCACCACCCGGTCTAAACTCCCACCACCACCCGGTGTAAACTTCCACCACCACCCGGTCTATACTCCCACCACCATCCGGTCTAAACTCCCAGCACGACTCGGTTTCATCTCCTACCACCACACGGTCTAATGTCCCACCACCACCCAGTCTAAACTCCCACCACCACCTGGTCTAAACTCCCACCACCATCCGGTCTACACTCCTACCACCATCCGGTCTAAACTTCCACCACCACCCGGTCCAAACTCCCAGAACCACCCGGTCTGAACTCCCACCACCACCCGGTCTAAACTCCCACCACCACCCGCTCTAATCTCCCACCATCACCAATTCTAAACTCCCACCACCACCCGGTCTAAACTCCCACCACCACCCAGTCTAAACTCCCACCACCACCCGGTCTATACTCCCACCACAATCCGGTCTAAACTCCCACCACCACCCGGTCGTAACTCCAACCACCATCCGGTCTAAACTCCCACCACCACCCAGTTTAAACTCCCACCATCACCGGGCCTAAACTCCCACCACAAGCCGGTCTAAGTTCCCACCACCACCCGGTCTAAACTCCCTACACCACCTGGTCTAAACTCCCACCACCAACAGGAAAAACCTCCCACCACCACCCTGTCTAAACTCGCACCAACACCCGGTTTAAACTCCTTCACAACCCGGTCTAAACTCCCACAACCAATGGGAAAATACTCCAACCACCACCCTGTCTAAACTCCCAGCATGACTCAGTCTCAACTCCTTCCACCACCCGGTCTAAAATCCCTCCACCACCCGGTCTAAACTCCCACCACCACCCGGTCTAAACACCATCACCACCTGGTCTTAACTCCAACCACCACCCGGTCTAAATTCACTCCACCAACCGGTCTAAACTCCCACCACCACCCGGTGTAAACTTCCACCACCACCCGGTCGAAACTCCCACCACCACCCGGTCTAAACTCCCACAACCATCCGGTCTCAACACTCACCACCACCCAGTTTAAAATCCCACCACCACCCGATCTAAACTCCCACCACCATATGGTCTAAACTCCCACCACCACCTGGTCTAAACTCCCACCACAATCCGGTCTAAGTTTCCACCACCACCCGGTCTAAACTCCAACCACCACCGGGTCTAAACTCTCACCACTACCGGTTCTAAACTCCCACCACTACCTGGTCTATATTCAAACCACCACCGGGTCTACACTCCCACCACCACCTGGTCAAGACTCCCACAACCATCCGGTCTAAACTCCCACCACCACCCGGTCAAAACTCCAACCACCACCGGGTCTAAACTCCACCCACCACCCGGTCTAAAGTCTCACCACAAACCAGTCCAAAATCAAACCACCACCCGGTCTAAACTCCCACCACCACCCGGTCTAGACTCCCACCAGCACCCAATCCAAACTCCCACCATATCCGGTCTAAAATCCCACCACGAACCAGTCTAAGCTCCCACCACCACCCGGTCTAAACTCCCACCACCACCCGGTGTAAACTTCCACCACCACCCGGTCTAAACTCCCACCATTATCCGGTCTAAACACCCAGCACGACTCGGTCTCATCTCCTACCACCACCCGGTCTTAATTCCCACCACCACCCAGTTTAATGTCCCACCATCACCCGGTCTCAACTCCCACCACCACCTGTCTATACTCCCACTACCACCCAGTCTAAACTCCCACCACCACCTGGTCTAAACTCCCACCACCACCCGGTGTAAACTCCAACCACCACCGGGTCTAAACTCTCACCACCACCGGGTCTAAACTCCCACCACTATCTGGTCTATATTCAAACCACAACCGGGTCTACACTCCCACCACCACCCGGTCAAGACTCCCACCACCACCTGGTGTAAACTCCCACCACCACCCGGTCTAAACTCCCACCAGCACCCAATCCAAACTCCCACCATATCCGGTCTAAAATCCCACCACCAACCGGTCTGAGCTTCCACCACCACCCGGTCTAAACTCCCACCACCACCCGGTCAAAACTCCCTCACCACCTGGTCTAAAATCCAACCACCACCCAGTCTAAACTCCCACCACCTCCCGGTCTAAACTCCCAGCACCAACCGGTCTAAACGACCACCACCACCCGATTTAAACTCCCACCACCACCCGGTCTAAACTCCCACCAGCACCTGATCAAAACTCCCACCATCATCCGGTCTAAACTTCCACCACCACCCGGTCTAAACACCCACCACAACCCGGTCCAAACTCCTTCACCACCCGGTCTAAATTCCAACCACCACCCAGTCTAAACTCCCACCACCACCCGGTCTAATCACCCTCACAACCTGGTCTTAACTCCAACCACCACCCAGTCTAATCTCACTCCACCAACCAGTCTAAACTCCCACCACCACCCAGTGTAAACTCCCACCACCACCCGGTCTAACCTCCCCCCACCATCTGGTCTAAACACCCACCACCACCCAGTTTAAAATCCCACCACCACCCGATCTAAACTCCCACCACCATATGGTCTAAACTCCCACCACCACCTGGTCTAAACTCCCACCACAACCGGGTCTAAGTTCCCACCACCACCCGGTCTAAAATCCAACCACCACCGGGTCTAAACTCTCACCACCACCGGGTCTAAACTCCCATCACTACCTGGTCTATATTCAAACCACCACCGGCTCTACACTCCCACCACCACCCGGTCAAGACTCCCACAACCATCTGGACTAAACTCCCACCACCACCCGGTCAAAACTCCCACCACCACCGGGTCTAAACTCCCACCGACACCCGGTCTAAACTCCCACCAGCAACCAATCCAAAATCCCACCATATCCGGTCTAAAATCCCACCACCAACGGGTCTAAGCTCCCACCACCACCCGGTGTAAACTCCCACCACCACCCGGTCTAAACTCCCACCAGCACCCAATCCAAAATCCCACCATATCCGGTCTAAAATCCCACCACCAACCGGTCTAAGCTCCCACCACCACCCGGTCTAAACTCCTACCACCACCCGTTCAAAACTCCCTCACCACCCGGTCTAAAATCCAACCACCACCCAGTCTAAACTCCCACCACCACCCGGTCTAAACTCCCACCACCAACCGGTCTAAACGACCACCACCACCCGGTTTAAACTCCCACCACCACCCGGTCTAAACTCCCACCAGCACCGGATCCAAACTCCCACCATCATCCGGTCTAAACTTCTACCACCACCAGGTCCAAACTCCCACCACAACCCGGTCCAAACTTCCTCACCACCCGGTCTAAAATCCAACTACCACTTGGTCTAAACTCCCTCCACCAACCAGTCTAAACTCCCACCACCACCCAGTCTAAACTCCCACCACCACCCGGTCTAAACTCCCACCAGCACCCGATCCAAACTCACACCATCATCCGGTCTAAACTCCCACCACCAACCGGTCTAAAATCCCATCACCACCCGGTCGAGACTCCCACCACAACCCGGTCCAAACTCCCTCCCCACCCGGTCTAAAATCCAACCACCACCCTGTCTAAACTCCCTCCACCAACCGGTCTAAACTCCCTCCACCAACCGGTCTAAACTCGCACCACAACCCGGTCTAAACTCCCACCAGCACCCGATCCAAACTCCCACCATCATCTGGTCTAAACTCCCACCACCAACCGGTCTAAGCTCCCACCATCACCTGGTCTAAACTCCCACCACCACCCGAACCAAACTCCCATCACCAACATGTCTAAACTCCCACGACCACTCGGTTTAAACTCCCACCACCAACCGGTCTAAACTCCCCCCATTATCCGGTCTATACTCCCACAACTACCTGGTCTAAACTCCCACCACCACTCTCACAGGATCGAATGTATCGAGGTTTTAGGGTTTAGGGTTTAGATTGCACTATCCTAAACCCTAAATCCCACCCTAAACCCTAAACCCTTGCACTATCGATTGATACAAGGTGCTTTTATACTTCCAGAGTACATCAGGTAACCACGTTTATCCTATCCAAGGGAATAGACCCTTCTAGAAAATAGAATCACCCTGCGTATAGCCACGCGAGGTTATTGGCTTTAAGGGATTACGGCAGGATTACGCTAGATATTGAGCACCGGTACATCCCGAGCCTGGTCAGTGATACTACAACAGCCGAATAAACCAAAGGATAATGGAAAATGGAGAATTGGAAACCAAATGAGATGGGATAAAAAGAGAAATGAAATAGAAAGGAAATAAGGAAAGACCAAGTAGTGTAACGGGGTCGTACTCTCACACTTCCCCCCCTCAAAGCTGGGTGGTAGAAGTAACACCCTGCTTGACAAGGTAGTCATGAAGAGGACGACGGGCGTTACCCATGTCGGTCTCAGGTACCCAGCTGTCCTCAGAAGGATCATAAGCCTTCCAACGAATCAGAAGCTCCACGGTGCCATTCCGACGATGGCGGTGTGCAAGCACGGACTCGACCTTGTACTCGTGTTCATTCAGGACGAGGACGGGCAGCGGCGGCGGCGGTTGGCATCCGACGAAGATCGCCTTCGGATCCCGATAGGGCTTCAGAAGTTGCACATTGAATGCGTTGTGAATCTTCCAGGTACCTGGCAGGCGTAAGCGGAAGGTAACAGGAGTGATCTGTGCTTCAACGAGGAAAGGCCCGCAGAAGCGAGGTCGAAGTTTAGATGGGAGATGGCTAATGTCCAGGTTGCGGGTGTCGAGAAGCACCTGCTCCCCCACGGTGATGGTGTGGTCGTTGCGATGGCGATCGACCTGGCGCTTCTGTTGCTGTTGAATGTCGAGGAGGCGCTTGTGGGTCCAATCCCAAAGCTGATGCATGGTTGTGATGAAATTGTGTGCAGGTTGGACTGTAGCTGAGGCTGTCGGTTTTTGTGGTGTGAGTGGGTGGCGTCCATAGCAGAGGAAGAATGGCATCTGTCCTGTATCGGCGTGTGTAGCATTATTGTAAGCAAACTCCAATACGGGTAGGTGCAAGTCCCATTTAGAGATCTCGTCCTTGCAGGCTGCTCGGAGGAGTTGCTCGACAACCTGGTTGAGGCGCTCGGTCTGTCCGTCTGTCTGCGGATGGTAAGCGGAGGACATGGTGAGTTTGGTCCTGAGCAGAGACATTAGTTCCTTCCAAAACTTGCTGGTGAACTTGGGGTCTCGGTCGGAGATGAGTGTGGTTGGAATGCCATGTTGTGAGATGATGTAACAAATGAAGAGTTGTGCTGTTTCTTCGGTATGCGCTGTCGTGTGTATCGGGATGAAGTGTCCCATTTTGGAGAACTTGTCGATGACGACAAGGATTGCGTCATGACCGGTAGCGGTAGGTGGTAACCCGGTGATGAAATCCAGGCTGACCACTTGCCATGGTTGTTCAGGGACAGGAAGAGGCAGTAGAAGTCCCGCCTTCTTCTGCTTGCTGCGCTTCATTCGTTGACATGTATCATGAGGTGACGAATTTCTGAACATCTTCTGCCAAGTAGGGCCAGTAGTAGTGCTTTGCGATACCGGTCAGCATCTTGTTGCTACCGAAGTGTCTTGCGTATAGGACATCGTGGTATTCTTCAAGTAGTAACTGGCGCAAAGGAGGGTAATTGGGTACCCAGATTTTCGTTGATCCTTTCCGGTACGCGATGTCACTGTCCCACTGTAGCAGATGTCGCTTTTCTACCAAGGGAATTTCGCGGTCGATGGTGTACCTTTGTGTGAAGAGTCCATTGAGTAATGGATTCATCCCTTGTGTCGAAAAGCGCACCGGTCGAAATGAAGGGATTCATCCCTTGTGTCTAAACTCCCACCACCACCTGGTCTAAAACTGGTGCGCTTTTCGACGAGTGCGCTTTTCAACCCGTGCGCGTTTCAACCGGTGCGCTTTAAGACCAGTGCACTTTTCGACCCGTGCCCTTTTCGACCGATGCACGACCGGTGCGAATTTCGACTAGTGCGCTTTTCGATCGGTGCGCTTTTCGACCGGTGCGCTTTTCGACCGGTGCACTTTTCGACCGGTCCTCTTTTCGACTGGTGCCCTTTTCGACCGGTGCAATTTTCGACCGGTGCCCTTTTCGACCAATGCCCTTTTCGACCGGTGCCCTTTTCGACCAGTGCGCTTTTCGACTGATGCGCTTTTTGATCATTGCGCTTCTCGACCGGTGCGCTTTTCGACCGGTGCTCTTTTCGACCGGTGCCCTTTTCGACCGGTGCAATTTTCGACCGGTGCCCTTTTCAAACGGTGCCCTTTTCAACCGGTGCCCTTTTCGACCGGTGCCCTTTTCGACCGGTGCGCTTTTCGACCGGTGCGCTTTACGACCGGTGCGCTTTTCGACCGGTGCGCTTTTTGACCGGTGCCCTTTTCGACCGGTGCCCTTTTCGACCGGTGCCCTTTTCGACCGGTGCCCTTTTCGAACGTTGCCCTTTTTGACCGGTGCCCTTTTCGACCGGTGCCCTTTTCGACCGGTGCGCTTTTCGACCGGTGCACAATATTGGGTAGGATGGATTCAGCAATATTGGGAGAATTTAGCAAGGTAGGGGGGATTCAGCAAGATAGGGAGAATTCATCAAGGCAGGGATGATTAAGCAACTTAGAGGTGATAAATCAAGGTAGGGGTGATTAAGCAAGGTAGGAGTGTTTAAACAAGGTAAAGAGAAGTCTGCAAGGTAGTGGGAATTCAGCAAGGTATGGATGATTATGCAAGGTAGGTGTGATTAAGCAAGCTAGGGGCGATTCAGCAACGTAGGGTGACTTCAGCAAGATAGGGGGAACTCAACCATTTTGGGGTGATTAGGCAACGAAGGGGTGAGTAATAAGGGTAGGGGTGATTAAGCAAGGCAGTGGTGATTCAGCAAACTAGAGGTGATTCAACAAGGTAGGGGTGCTTAAGCAAGGTAGAGGTGATTAAACAATGTAGTGAGTACTCTGCAAGGTAGTGGTGATTAAACAAGGTAGGGGGAAAATCAGCAAGATAGGGAGAATTCAGCAAGGTAGAGGGGATTCAGCAAGATATGGGGAATTAAGCAATTTAGGGGATATCAAGCAAGTTAGGGGTGATTCAGCAAGGAAGGGGGGATTCAGCAACGTAGGCGTTACTAACCAAGATCGGGGGAATTGAGCAAGGTAGGGGTGATAGAGCAAGGTAGTGGAGACTCAGCAAGATAGGAGAATTCAGCAAGCTAGGGAGGATTCAGCAAGATAGGGTGAATTCAACGAGGTAAGGATGATTAAGCCATGTAGGGGTGATAAGTCAAGGCTGGGGTGATGAATCAAGGTAGGAGTGTTTTAACAAGGTAAGGGGAATTCAGCAAGGAAGTATAAATTCAGCATGGTAGGGGTGATTAAGCAAGGAAGGGGAGGCTCAGCAAGGTAGGCGAAAATTCGCAAGGTAAGGGTGATTGATCAAGGTAGGGGTGATTAAGCAAGGAAGCGGGAATTCAGCAAAGTAGGGGTGATTATGCAAGGAAGGGGGGATTCAAAAAGGTAGGGTTTATTAAGCGAGAAAGGGGTGATATGTAAGGGAAGGGGTGATTGTGCAAGGTAGGTGTGATTAAGCAAGGAAGGGGGAATTCAGCACGATAGGGGAGATTCAGCAAGACATAGGGAATTCTCTAATTTTCAGGTAATTACCCAATGTAGGGGTGATTAGTCGAGGTAGGTGTCATCAGGCAAGGTTGGATTGATTGAACAAGGTAGGGGGAATTCAGGAAGGTAGTCGGAAAAAGCAAGGTAGGGGTGATTAAGCAAGGTAGGATTGATTAAGCAGCATAGAGGGAATTCAGCAAGGCAGGGATGATTTTAAAAGGTAGGGGTGATTTAGAATGGGAGGGGGGTTCAGCAAGATAAAAAGAACTCAGCAAGATAGGGGAGATTCAATGAGATAGGGGGAATAGAGCAATTTAGCGATGATTAAGCAAGGTAGGGATGATCCAGCAAGGAAGGGGGGGTTCAACGAGGTAGGCGGGATTGAACAAGTTAGGATGGATTCAGCAATCCAACCACCACCCTGTCTAAACTCCTTCCACCAACCGGTCTAAACTCCCTCCACCAACCGGTCTAAACTCGCACCACAACCCGGTCTAAACTCCCACCAGCACCCGATCCAAACTCCCACCATCATCTGGTCTAAACTCCCACCACCAACTGGTCTAAGCTCCCACCATCACCTGGTCTAAACTCCCACCACCACCCGAACCAAACTCCCATCACCAACATGTCTAAACTCCCACGACCACTCGGTTTAAACTCCCACCACCAACCGGTCTAAACTCCCCCCATTATCCGGTCTATACTCCCACAACTACCTGGTCTAAACTCCCACCACCACTCTCACAGGATCGAATGTATCGAGGTTTTAGGGTTTAGGGTTTAGATTGCACTATCCTAAACTCTAAATCCCACCCTAAACCCTAAACCCTTGCACTATCGATTGATAAAAGGTGCTTTTATACTTCCAGAGTACATCAGGTAACCACGTTTATCCTATCCAATGGAATAGACCCTTCTAGAAAATAGAATCACCCTGCGTATAGCCACGCGAGGTTATTGGCTTTAAGGGATTACGGCAGGATTACGCTAGATATTGAGCACCGGTACATCCCGAGCCTGGTCAGTGATACTACAACAGCAGAATAAACCAAAGGATAATGGAAAATGGAGAATTGGAAACCAAATGAGATGGGATAAAAAGAGAAATGAAATACAAAGGAAATAAGGAAAGGCCAAATAGTGTAACGGGGTCGTACTCTCACACTTCCCCCCCTCAAAGCTGGGTGGTAGAAGTAACACCCTGCTTGACAAGGTAGTCATGAAGAGGACGACGGGCGTTACCCATGTCGGTCTCAGGTACCCAGTTGTCCTCAGAAGGATCATAAGCCTTCCAACGAATCAGAAGCTCCACGGTGCCATTCCGACGATGGCGGTGTGCAAGCACGGACTCGACCTTGTACTCGTGTTCATTCAGGACGAGGACGGGCAGCGGCGGCGGCGGCGGTTGGCGTCCGACGAAGATCGCCTTCGGATCCCGATAGGGCTTCAGAAGTTGCACATTGAATGAGGTTGTGAATCTTCCAGGTACCTGGCAGGCGTAAGCAGAAGGTAACAGGAGTGATCTGTGCTTCAACGAGGAAAGGCCCGCAGAAGCGAGGTCGAAGTTTAGATGGGAGATGGCTAATGTCCAGGTTGCGGGTATCGAGAAGCACCTGCTCCCCCACGGTGATGGTGTGGTCGTTGCGATGGCGATCGACCTGGCGCTTCTGTTGCTGTTGAATGTCGAGGAGGCGCTTGTGGGTCCAATCCCAAAGCTGATGCATGGTTGTGATGAAATTGTGTGCAGGTTGGACTGTAGCTTTTCGACCGGTGCGCTTTTCGACCGGTGCGCTTTTCGACCGGTGCGCTTTTCGACCGGTGCGCTTTTCGACCGGTGCCCTTTTCGACCGGTGCCCTTTTCGACCGGTGCCCTTTTCGACCGGTGCCCTTTTCGACCGGTGCCCTTTTCGACCGGTGCCCTTTTCCACCGGTGCGCTTTTCGACCGGTGCGCTTTTCGACCGGTGCGCTTTTCGACCGGTGCACAATATTGGGTAGGATGGATTCAGCAATATTGGGAGAATTTAGCAAGGTAGGGGGGATTCAGCAAGATAGGGAGAATTCATCAAGGCAGGGATGATTAAGCAACTTAGAGGTGATAAATCAAGGTAGGGGTGATTAAGCAAGGTAGGAGTGTTTAAACAAGGTAAAGAGAAGTCTGCAAGGTAGTGGGAATTCAGCAAGGTATGGATGATTATGCAAGGTAGGTGTGATTAAGCAAGCTAGGGGTGATTCAGCAACGTAGGGTGACTTCAGCAAAATAGGGGGAAATTCAACAATTTTGGGGTGATTAGGTAACGAAGGGGTGATTAATAAGGGTATGGGTGATTAAGCAAGGCAGAGGTGATTCCGCAAAGTCAAGGTGATTCAACAAGGTAGGGGTGCTTAAGCAAGGTAGAGGTGATTAAACAATGTAGTGAGTACTCTGCAAGGTAGGGGTGATTAAACAAGGTAGGTAGAAATTCAGCAAGATAGGGAGAATTCAGCAAGGTAGTGGGGACTCGGCAAGATATGGGGAATTAAGCAATTTAGGGGATATCAAGCAATTTAGGGGTGATTCAGCAAGGAAGAGGGGACCCAGCAATGTAGGGGTTATTAACCATGATCGGGGGAATTCAGCAAGGTAGGGGTGATTGAGCATGGTAGTGTGGACTCAGCAAGATAGGAGAATTCAGCAAGCTAGGGGGGATTCAGCAAGATAGGGGGAATTCAATTCAATTTAAGCCATGTAGGGGTGATAAGTCAACGCTGGGGTGGTTAATCAAGGTAGGAGTGTTTAAACAAGGTAAGGGGAATTCAGCAAGAAAGTATAAATTCAGCATGGTAAGGGTGATTAAGCAAGGAAGGGGGGGCTCAGCAAGGTAGGCGAGATTTCGCAAGGTAGGGGGGATTAAGCAATGTATCAGTGATTCACGAGGTAGGGGTGATTGATCAAGGTAGGGGTGATTAAGCAAGGAAGAGGGAATTCAGCAAAGGAGGGGTGATTAAGCAAGGAAGGGGGGATTCAGCAAGTTAGCGAGAATTCAACAAGGTAGGGGGGATTCAGCATCGAAGGGATTAAACAAGACAGGGGGAATTAAACAAGGTAGGGATGATTAAGCATCGAAGGGATGATTAGTCAAGGTAGGGGTGAGTAAGCAAGGTAGAGGGTTCAGTTAAAGGTAGGGAATTCAGAAAAAGGGTGGGAATTCAGCAAGATAGGGAGTAAGTAGGGGTGATTGTGCAAGGAAGGTGGGATTCAGCAAGGTAGGGGGAATTCAGCAAGAGAAGGGGGATTAAGCAAGGTATGGGTGATGAAGCAAAGTAGGGGTGATTAAGCAAGGCAGGGGTGAATAAGCAAGGCAAGGGTGATTAAACAAGGTAGGGGTGATTAAGTAAGGAAGAGGTGATAAAGCAAGGAAGGGGTGATTAAGAAAGAAAGGGATGACTCAGCAAGTTAGGGAGATTTCAGCAAGGTAGGGGTGATTAAGCAAGGTAGGAAGGGATTCAGCAATAGAGGGAGAATTCAGCTAGCTAGAAGGGATTCAGCAAGGTAGGGTTGATTCAACAAGGAAGGGGGGATTCAATAATGGTAGGGTTTATTAAGCGAGGAACGGGTGATATGTAAGGGAAGGGGTGATTGTGCAAGGTACGTGTGATTAAGCAAGGAAGGGGGAATTCAGCAAGGTAGTGGTGATTAAGCATGGTAGGGGTGATTCAGCAAGATACAGGGAATTCTCTCATTTTCAGGTAATTAGTCAATGTAGGGATGATTAGTCAAGGTAGGGGTCATCAGGCAAGGTAGGGGGAATTCAGCAAGGTAGTCGGAAAAAGCAAGGTAGGGGTGCTTAAGCAAGGTAGGATTGATTAAGCAGCATAGAGGGAATTCAGCAAGGCAGGGATGATTTTAAAAGGTAGGGGTGATTTAGAATGGGAGGGGGGATTCAGCAAGATAAAGAGAACTCAGCAAGATAGGGGAGATTCAACGAGAAAGGGGGAATAGAGCAATTTAGGGATGACTAAGCAAGGTAGGGATGATTCAGCAAGGAAGGGGGGGTTCAACAAGGTAGGCGGGATTGAGCAAATTAGGAGGGATTCAGCAATGTAGCCGTGACTAAGCAAGTGATTAATCTTGGTAGGGGTGATTAAGCAAGGAAGAAGGAATTGAGCAAGGGGGTGGGAATTCAGCAAGGTAGTGGTGAATAATAAAGGTGGGGGGGATTCAGCAAGGTAGGATTGATTCAACAAGGAAGGGGGGATTCAGCAAGGTAGGATTGATTAAGCAAGGAGGGGGGGATTTAGCAAGGCAGGGGTTCTTAAGCACGGTAGGGGGGATTCAGCAATATTGGGAGAATTTAGCAAGGTAGAGGGGATTCAGCAAGATAGGGGGAATTCAGCAAGGCAGGGATGATTAAGCAACTTAGAGGTGATAAATCAAGGTAGGGGTGATTAAACAAGGTAGGAGTGTTTAAACAAGGTAAAGGGAATTCAGCAAGGTAGTGGGAATTCAGCAAGGTAGGGGTGATTAAGCAAGGTAGGTGTGATTAAGCAAGCTAGGGGCGATTCAGCAACGTAGGGTGACTTCAGCAAGATAGGGGGAACTCAACCATTTTGGGGTGATTAGGCAACGAAGGGGTGATTAATAAGGGTAGGGGTGATTAAGCAAGGCAGTGGTGATTCAGCAAACTAGAGGTGATTCAACAAGGTAGGGGTGCTTAAGCAAGGTAGAGGTGATTAAACAATGTAGTGAGTACTCTGCAAGGTACGGGTGATTAAACAAGGTAGGGGGAAAATCAGCAAGATAGGGAGAATTCAGCAAGGTAGAGGGGATTCAGCAAGATATGGGGAATTAAGCAATTTAGGGGATATCAAGCAAGTTAGGGGTGATTCAGCAAGGAAGGGGGGATTCAGCAACGTAGGGGTTACTAACCAAGATCGGGGGAATTGAGCAAGGTAGGGGTGATAGAGCAAGGTAGTGGAGACTCAGCAAGATAGGAGAATTCAGCAAGCTAGGGAGGATTCAGCAAGATAGGGTGAATTCAATGAGGTAAGGATGATTAAGCCATGTAGGGGTGATAAGTCAAGGCTGGGGTGATTAATCAAGGTAGGAGTGTTTTAACAAGGTAAGGGGAATTCAGCAAGGAAGTATAAATTCAGCATGGTAGGGGTGATTAAGAAAAGAAGGGGGGGCTCAGCAAGGTAGGCGAAAATTCGCAAGGTAAGGGTGATTGATCAAGGTAGGGGTGATTATGCAAGGAAGGGGGGATTCAGCAAGTTAGCGAGAATTCAACAAGGTAGGGGGGATTCAGCAAGATAGGGGGAATTAAACAAGGTAGGGATGATTAAGCATCGTAGGGATGATTAATCAAGGTACGGGTGACAAAACAAGGTAGAGGGAATTCAGCTAAAGGTAGGGAGTTTAGCAAAAGGGTGGGAATTCAGCAAGATAGGGAGTAGGTAGGGGTGATTGTGCAAGGAAGGTGGGATTCAGCAAGGTAGGGGGAATTCAGCAAGGGAGGGGGGACTAAGCGAGGCATGGATGATGAAGAAAGGTAGGGGTGATTAAGCAAGGCAGGGGTGATTAAGCAAGGCATGGGTGATTAAACAAGGAAGGGAAGATTAAGCAAGGTAGGGGTGAGTAAGCAAGGAAGGGGTGATTACGAAAGAAAGGGATGACTCAGAAAGATAGGAGAGGGAATTCAGCAAGGCAGGGATGACTTAAAAAGGTACGGGTGATTTAGAATGCGAGGGGGGATTCAGCAAGATAAAGAGAAATCAGCAAGATAGGGGAGATTCAACGAGATAGGGGTAATAGAGCAATTTAGGGGTGATTAAGCAAGGTGGGGATGATTCAGCACGGAAGGGGGGGTTCAACAAGGTAAGCAGGATTCAGCAAGTTAGGAGGGATTCAGCAATGTAGCCGTGACTCAGCAAGTAATTAATCAAGATAGGGTTGATTAAGCAAGGAAGAGGGAATTCAGCAAGGGGGTGGGAATTCAGCAAGGTAGTGGTGATTAATCAAGGTCGGGGGGGTTAAGCAAGGTAGGGGGGATTCAGCAAGGTAGGGTTGATTCAACAAGGAAGGGGGGCTTTAGCAAGGTTCGGTTGATTAAGCAAGGTAGGGGTGATTGAGCAAGGTAGGGGTGATTAACCAAGGAAGGGGGAATTCTGCAAAGTAGGGTTGATCAGTGGGAATTTAGCAAGGTAGGGATGATTAATAAAGATAGGGGTGACTCAGAAAAAGAGTGGGTATTCAGCAAGATTGGGAGAATTCAGCAAGGAAGAGGGGATTCAGCAAGGTAGGGGTGATTCAACAAGGAAAGGGTGATTCAGCAAGGTAGGAGTGATTAAGCAAAGTAGGGGTGTTTAGGTAAGGTAGGGGGAATTCAGCAAGGTAGTGGGAGTTCAGCAGGGTAGGGTTGATTAAGCAAGGTGGGGCGATTCAGCAAGGAAAAGGGGGTTCCAGCAAGGTAGACGGGATTCAGCAAGGTAGGGGTGATAAATCAAGGTAGGGGTGATCAAGATTTAGGATGGTTCAGCAAGATAGGGAGAATTCAACAAGGAAGAGGGGATTCATCAAGGTAGGGATAATTCGACAAGGAAGGGGGGATTCAGCAATGTTGGGGTGATTAAGCAACGTAGGGGTGACTAGTCAAGATGGGGGTGATAAAGCAAGGAAGGAGTGATTGAACAAGGTAAGGGGAATTCAGCAAGGTAGTGGGAATTTAGCAAGATAGAGGGCATTCAGCAAGGAAGGGGGGATTTAGCAAGGTAGGGGTTCTTAAGCTCGGTAGGGAGGATTGAGAAATATTGGGAGAATTTAGCAAGGTAGGGGGGATTCAGCAAGATAGGGGGAATTCAGCAAGTCAGGGATAATTAAGCAACTTAGAGGTGATAAATCAAGGTAAGGGTGATTAAGCAAGATAGGAGTCTTTAAACAAGGTAAAGAGAATTCAGCAAGGTTGTGGAAATTCAGCAAGGTAGGGGTGATTAGGGAAGGTAAAGGGGATTCAGCAAGTTAGTGAGAATTTAACACGGTAGGGGGGATTCAGCAAGATCGGGTCAATTATACTAGGTAGGGATGATTAAGCATCGTAGGGATAATTAATCAAGGTAGGGGTTACTAGGCAAGGTAGAGGGAATCCAGTTGAAGGTAGGGATTCAGCAAAAGGGTGGGAATTCAGCAAGATAGGGAGTAAGTAGGGGTGATTGTGCAAGGAAGGTGGGATTCAGCAAGGTAGGGGGAATTCAGCAAGGGAGGGGGGATTATCAAGGTATGGGTGATGAAGCAAGGTAGGTGTGATTTAGCAAGGCAGGGGTGATTAAGCAGGGCACGGATGATTAAACAAGGTAGGGGTGATTAAGCAAGGTAGGGTTGATCAGTGAGAATTTAGCAACGTAGGGATGATTAATGAAGGTAGGGGTGACTCCGAAAGGGAGTGGGGATTCAGCAAGATTGGGAGAATTCAGCAAGGAAGAGGGGATTCAGAAAGATTGTGAGAATTCAGCAAGGTAGGGGTGATTCGACAAGGAAGGGGAGATTCAGCAAGGTAGGGGTGATTAAGCAAGGTAAGGGTGATTAGGTAAGGTAGGGGGAATTCAGCAAGGTAGTAGGAATTCAGCAGGGTAGGGTGGGATTCAGCAAGGAAAGGGGGGTTCCAGCAAGGTAGGTGGGATTCAGCAAGGTAGGGGTGATTAATTAAGACGGGAATGAAAAAGCAAGGAAGGAGTGATTGAACAAGGTAAGGGGAATTCAGCAAGGTAGTGGGAACTTAGCAAGATAGAGGGAATTCAGCAAGGAAGGGGGAATTTAGCAAGGTAGGGGTTCTCACGCACGGTAGGGGGCATTCAGTAATATTGAGAGAATTTAGCAAGATAGGGATTCGTCAAGATAACAGAAACTCAGCAAGGCAGGGATGATTAAGCAACTTTGAGGTGATAGATCAAGGTAGGGGTGATTATGCAAGGTATGAGTGTGCGATCGAGGTTGTGGGAATTCAGCAAGGCAAGGGTGATTAAGCAAGGTAGGTGTGATTAAGCAAGCTAGGGGTGATTCAGCAACATAGGGCGACTTCAGCAAGATAGGAGGAATTCAACAATTTAAGGGTGATTAGGCAAGGAAGGTGTGATTACCAAGGGTAGGGGTGATTACGCAAGGCAGAGGTGATTCAGCAAAATAGAGGTGATTCAAGAAGGTAGGGGTTCTGAAGCAAGGTAGAGGTGATTAAACAATGTAGTGAGCACTCTGCAAGGTAGGCGAGATTAAACAAGGTAGGAGTGTTTTAACAAGGTAGGGGGAATGCAGCAAGGAAGTATATATTCAGCATGGTAGGGGTGATTAAGCAAGGATGGGGGGGCTCAGCAAGTAAGGTGAAATTCAGCAATGAAGGGGGGATCAAGCAATGTATCAGTGATTCAGCAAGGTAGGGGTGATTGATCAAGGTAGGGGTGATTAAGCAAGGAAGAGGGATTTCAGCAAGGTAGGGGGATTTCAGCGAGGGAGGGGGGATTAATCAAGGTATGGGTGATGAAGCAAGGTAGGGGTGATTAAGCAAGGCAGGGTTGATTAAGCAAGGCAAGGGTGGTTAAGCAAGGTAGGGGTGACTAAGCATGGTAGAGGTGATTAAGCAAGGAAGGGGTGATTATGAAAGAAAGGGATGACTCAGCAAGAGAGGGAGAATTCAGCAAGGTAGGGGTGATTAAGCAAGCTAGGGGGCATTCAGCAAGGTTGGGTTGATTCAACAAGGAAGGGGGGATTAAAAAAGGTAGGGTTTATTAAGCGAGACAGGGGTGATATGTAAGGGAAGGGGTGATTGTGCAAGGTAGGTGTGATTAAGCAAGGAAGGGGGAATTCAGCACGATAGGGGAGATTCAGCAAGACATAGGGAATTCTCTAATTTTCAGGTAATTACCCAATGTAGGGGTGATTAGTCGAGGTAGGGGTCATCAGGCAAGGTTGGATTGATTGAACAAGGTAGGGGTAATTCAGGAAGGTAGTCGGAAAAAGCAAGGTAGGGGTGATCAAGCGAGGTAGGATTGATTAAGCAGCATAGAGGGAATTCAGCAAGGCAGGGATGATTTTAAAAGGTAGGGGTGATTTAGAATGGGAGGGGGGTTCAGCAAGATAAAAAGAACTCAGCAAGATAGGGGAGATTCAACGAGATAGGGGGAATAGAGCAATTTAGCGATGATTAAGCAAGGTAGGGATGATCCAACAAGGAAGGGGGGGTTCAACAAGGTAGGCGGGATTGAACAAGTTAGGATGGATTCAGCAATGTAGCCATGACTTAGCAAGTGATTAATCTTGGTAGGGGTGATAAAGCAAGGAAGAAGGAATTCAGCAAGGGGGTGGGAATTCAGCAAGGTAGTGGTGATTAACAGTGGGGGGGATTCAGCAAGGTAAGGGGGATTCAGCAAGGTAGGATTGATTCAACAAGGAAGGGGGGATTCAGCAAGGTAGGGTTGATTAAGCAAGGAAGGGGTGATTAATAAAGGTAGGGACGATTGAGCAAGGTAGGGGTGATAAACCAAGGAAGGGGGAATTCCGCAAGGGAGGGTTGATCAGTGGGAATTTAGCAAGGTAGGGATGACTTGAAAAGGTAGGGAAGATTTAGAATGGGTGGGGGGATTCAGCAAGATAAATAGAACTCAGCAAGATAGGGAAGATTCAACGAGATAGGGGGAATAGAGCAATTTAGGGGTGATTAAGCAAGGTGGGGATGATTCAGCACGGAAGGGGGGGTTCAACAAGGTAGGCGGGATTCAGCAAGTTAGGAGGGATTCAGCAATGTAGCCGTGACTCAGCAAGTGATTAATCAAGGTAGGGTTGATTATGCAAGGAAGAGGGAATTCAGCAAGGGGGTGGGAATTCAGCAAGGTAGTGGTGATTAATGAAGGTCGGGGGGGTTAAGCAAGGTAGGGGGGATTCAGCAAGGTAGGGTTGATTCAACAAGGAAGTGGGTCTTCAGCAAGGTTGGGTTGATTAAGCAAGGTAGGGGTGATTGAGCAAGGTTGGGGTGATTAACCAAGGAAGGGGGAATTCTGCAAAGTAGGGTTGATCAGTGGGAATTTAGCAAGGTAGGGATGATTAATAAAGATAGGGGTGACTCAGAAAGGGAGTGGGTATTCAACAAGATTGGGAGAATTCAGCAAGGAAGAGGGGATTCAGCAAGGTAGGGGTGATTCAACAAGGAAAGGGGGATTCAGCAAGGTAGGGGTGATTTGGTAAGGTAGGGGGAATTCCGCAAGGTAGTGGGAGCTCAGCAAGGTAGGGTTGATTAAGCAAGGTGGGGCGATTCAGCAAGGAAAGAGGGGTTCCAGCAAGGTAGACGGGATTCAGCAAGGTAAGGTTGATTAAGCAAGGTAGAGGCAATTCAACAAGGTGGTGAAAATTCAGCAAGGGTTTATGAGTGATAAAGCAAGGTAGGGGTGATCAAGAATGGTAAGGATGGTTCAGCAAGATAGGGAGAATTCAACAAGGAAGAGGGGATTCATTAAGGTAGGGATGATTTGTCAGGGATTCAGCAATGTAGGGGTGATTAAGCAACGTAGGGGTGATTTGTCAAGATGGGGGTGATAAAGCAAGGAAGGAGTGATTGAACAAGGTAAGGGGAATTCAGCAAGGTAGTGGGAATTTAGCAAGATAGAGGGAATTCAGCAAGGAAGGGGGGATTTAGCAAGGTAGGGGTTCTTAAGCACGGTAGGGAGGATTCAGCAATATTGGGAGAATTTCGCAAGGTAGGAGGGAATCAGCAAGAGAGGGGGAATTCAACAAGGCAGGGATGATTAAGCAACTTAGAGGTGATAAATCAAGGTGAGGGTGATTAAGCAAGGTAGGAGTGTTTAAACAAGGTAAAGGGAATTCAGCAAGGTAGTGGGAATTCAGCAAGGTAGGGGTGATTAAGCAAGGTAGGTGTGATTAAGCAAGCTAGGGGTGATTCAGCAACGTAGGGTGACTTCAGCAAGATAGGGGGAACTCAACCATTTTGGGGTGATTAGGCAACGAAGGGGTGATTAATAAGGGTAGGGGTGATTAAGCAAGGCAGAGGGGATTCAGCAAAGTAGAGGTGATTCAACAAGGTAGGGGTGCTTAAGCAAGGAAAAGATGATTAAACAATGTAGTGAGTACTCTGCAAGGTAGGGGTGATTAAACAAGGTAGGTAGGAATTCAGCAAGATAGGAAGAATTCAACAAGGTAGTGGGGATTCGGCAAGGTATGGGGAATTAAGCAATTTAGGGGATATCAAGCAATTTAGGGATGATTCAGCAAGGAAGGGGGAATCAAGCAACGTAGGAGTTATTAACCAAGATCGGGGAAATTCAGCAAGATAGGGGTGATTAAGCAAGGTAGTGGGGACTCAGCAAGATAGGAGAATTCAGCAAGCTAGGAGGGATTCAGCAAGATAGGGGGAATTCAACGAGGTAGGGATGATTAAGCCATGTAGGAGTGATAAGTCAAGGCTGGGGTGATTAATCAAGGTAGGATTGTTTTAGCTAGGTAAGGAAAATTCAGCAAGGAACTATAAATTCAGCACGGTATGGGTGATTAAGCAAGGAAGGGGGGGCTCAGCAAGGTAGGCAAGATTCCGCAAGGTAGGGGTGATTAAGCAAGGAAGAGGGAATTCAGCAAAGTAGGGGTGATTAAGCAAGGAAGGGGGGATTCAGCATGTTAGGGAGATTTCAAAAAGGTAGGGGGGATTCAGCACCTGTCTAAATTCCCATCACCCAGTCTAAATTCCTACCACCACCCTGTCTAACTTCCCATCATCACCTGGTCTAAAGTCCCACCACCACCCGGTTTGAACTCCCACCACCACCTGTCTATTCTCCCACCACCACCAGTCTATACTCCCACCACCACCCACTCTAATCTCCAAACACCACCCACTATAAACTCCCACCACCACCTGGTCTCAACTCGCACCACTAACCGGTCTAAGCTCCCACCACCATCTGGTCTACGCTCCCACCACCATCCAGTCTACGCTCCCACCACCATCCGGTCTAAACTCCCACCACCAACCGGTCTAAAATCGCACCACCACCCAGTCTAAACACCCATCACCACCCGGTCTAAACTCCCACCATCACCCGGTCTAAACTACCACCACCACCTGGTCTAAACTTCCACCACCATTCGTTCTATACTCCCACCACGCGGTCTATATTCCCACCACCACCCGGTCTAAACTCCCACCACCACCAAGTTTAAAATCCAACCACCACCCGGTCGAAACTCCCAACACCACCTTGTCTAAGCTCCCACCACCAGTGGGTCCTTTACTCCCAACACCACCTGGTCTTAACTCACTCCACCAACCGGTCTAAACTCCCACGACCACCTGGTCTGAAATCCCACCACCACCCGGTCTAAACTCGCACTTACACCCAGTCTAAACTCCCTTACCACCCAGTCTAAATTCCCTCCACCATCTGGTCAAAAACTCCCACCACCACCCTGTCTAAACTCCCAGCACGACTCAGTCTCAACTCCTTCCACCACCCGGTCTAAATTCCCACCACCACCTGGTCTAAAATCCCTCCTACACCCGGTCTAAACTCCCTCACCACCTGGTCTAAACTCCCTCACCACCTGGTCTAAACTCCACCACCACCCGGTCTTAACTCACTCCACCAATCGGTCTAAACTTCCACCACCACCCAGTCTAAACTCCCACCACCATCCAGTCTAAACTCCCAGCACGACTCAGTCTCATCTCCTACCACCACCCGGTCTAAATTCCACAACCACACGGTCTAAAGTCCCACCACCACCCGGTCTAAACTCCCAGCAACACCTGTCTATACTGCCACCACCACCCAGTCTAAACTTTCACCACCATCCGGCCCAAACTCCAACCACCATCCGGTCTACACTCCCACCACCATCCGGTCTATAATCCCACCAACACCCGGTCTAAACTCCCATCACCACCCACTCTAAACTCCCACCACCACCCGGTCTAAACGCCCACCACCAACTGGTCTAAAATCCCACCACCACCCGGTCTAAACTCCCACCACCAACCGGTCTAAACGACCACCACCACCCGGTCTAAACTCCCACCACCACCTGATCTTAACTCCCACCAGCACCCAATCCAAAATCCCACCATCATCCGGTCTAAACTCCCACCACCAACTAGTCTAAACTCCCACCACCCCGCGGGCTAAACCTTCTCTACAACCCAGTCTAAAATCCCTCACCACCCGGTCTAAAATCCAACCACCAGCCAGTCTAATCTCCCTCCACCAACCGGTCTAAGCTCCCACCACCACCGAGTCTAAAATTCCACCACCACCCAGTCAAAACTTCCACCACCACCCGGTCTATACTCCCACCACGCGGTCTATATTCCCACCACCACTGGGTCTAAACTCCCAACACCACCCTGTCTAAGCTCCCACCATAAGCGGGTCCTTTACTCCCAACACCACCCGGTCTTTACTCCCACCATCACCCGGTCTAAACTCCAACCACCACCGGGTCTAAACTCTCACCACTGGGTCCGAAATCCCACCACCACCAGGTCTCAACTCCCACCAGAACCTGGTCTATATTCAACCCACCACCGGGTCTACACTCCCACCACCACCCGGTCAAGACTCCCACCACCATCCGGTCTAAACTCCCACCACCACCTGGTCAAAACTCTCACCACCAGCGGGTCTAAACTCCCACCACCACCCGGTCTAAAGTCTCACCACCAACCGGTCTAAACTCAAACCACCACCTGGTCTAAACTCCCACAACCAACCGGTCTAAACTCCCACTACCACCCGGTCTTATCTCCCACCACCACCCGGTCTAAACTCCCTCACCACCCGGTCTAAACTCCAACCACCACCCAGTCTAAACTCCCTCCACCAACTGGTCTAAAATTCCACCACCACCCAGCCTAAACTCCCACCACCAACTGGTCGAAACTCCCACCAGCACCCGATCCAAACTCCCACCTTCATCCAGTCTAAACTCCCACCACCAACCAGTCTAAACTCCCACCTCCATGCGGTCTAAACTCTCACCACCAACAGGTCTAAACTCCCACCACCACCCGGTCTAAACTCCCACCACCAACCGGTCTGAACTCCCACCACCACCCAGTCAAAACTCCCACCACCACCCGGTCTAAACAACCACCACCACCCTGTCTAAACTCCCACCACCACCTGGTCTAAACTCCCACCAGCACCCGATCCAAACTCCTATCATCATTCAGTCAAAACTCTTACCACCGTCCGGTCTAAAATCCCACCACCACCCGGTCTAAAATTCCACCACCAACCGGTCTAAACTCCCACCACCAACCGGTCTAAACTCCCACCACAACCCGGTCCAAACTCTCTCACCACCGGGTCTAACATCCAACCACCAGCCGGACTAAACTCCCTCCACCAACCAGTCTAAACTCCCACCACCACCCAGTCTAAACTCCCACCACCACCCGGTCTAAACTCCCACCAGCACCCGATCCAAACTCCTATCATCATCCGGTCTAAACTCTTACCACCATTCGGTCTAAAATCCCACCACCACCCGGTCTAAACTCCCACCACCACCTGGTCTAATCTCCCACCACCACCCGGTCTAAACTCCCACCACCAACAGGTCTAAACTCCCACCACCACCAGGTCTAAACTCCCACCACCAACTGGTCTAAACTCCCCCCACCATTTGGTCGAAACTCCTGTCACCAACTGGTCTAAACAACGACCACCACCAGGTCTAAACTCCCACCACCAACCGGTCTAAGCTTCCACCACCACCCAGTCTAAACTCCCACCACCAACTGGTCTAAACTCTCCGGTCCTTCCTCCTCTTGCATATCATTGGGGGGAGTTTGCATTTAGGGACCTTGATGCACATGGCACTTGTACAACACGCCCCCGACCATTATGAGTTCGAGGGGCCACTGCACATAGTGTGCTGTCACACCTCGAGCGGGTTCTTGCAGCCCTGAGGTTGGGTACTAGTCAGGCTCTGTTCTGTGATGATTTCATCACGTAGGGCTGTTGAAGAGCTCTCCGACGAGCATTCAGACGCCCCGAACGGAGCACCGAGCGCATAGTTATGCGCATTTTTCTGTTTCTGCTACTCGGATTCGTGCAAATCCGTGAAGCGACATAGTAGCCGTAGGAGGTATTCTAGAAAGCTCCGGTTTTCGCCGCCCAGCCTTGGCTGATGGGTTCCATATCATATAGCGACTCTTTTCGCTAGCGCCTCAGGAGTCCAGAGCAGCACTGCAGCTCAGTTCTTTGAGCCTTTCTTTTCAACCCCTAAACCTTTCGCACTTACGCCGGTGTTGGAGGCTGGGAGAGTTGAGGTAGACCCTTAGGTTCTGCATCCGAGCATAGGCCAGCATGCTCTTGAGACCATACATTAACCATGCATGCAAAAATCAAGATGGTTGAGCACGCTCAATAGCAAGATAACCAAGTTGATGTCTCGTAGGAAAATGCTCAAGTACTCGAAAAAGGAACACATACCATACCATAACTTTTTGCACACTTAGGTTTTGGATCTGAGCACAAGCCACAATTATCTTGAGCCCATGCACTAAATGTTCATGCAAAACAAGGGCTTAGAAATTGCTTTGTCTCTAAAAAACAAAATGAGAAGTTGAGGTTTTGTTGGACAATGCTCTAGTGTTTAGTCATGGGACAATAGTTGACATACTATAACTTCCCAACCACTTGGATTTTGGATCTGAGCACAAGCCATGATGCTCTTGAGGCCATACACTAGCTATGTATGCAAAGGGAAAGAGTTTTCGTGAACAATATCCTAAATGAAAAAACAGGTTGTTGTTTGGTGGGGTACCACTCAAGAACTTGGACATGCAAAAACGCTTGAGATACCATAACATCCCACACACCTGGGTTTTGCATCCGAGCATATGCCAGCATGCTCTTGAGCCCATACACTAACCATGCATGCAAAAAGCAAGATGTTTGAGCACGCTCAATAGCAAGATAACCAAGTTGAGGTCTCGTAGGAAAATGCTCAAGTACTGGAAAAAGGAACACATACAATACCATAACTTTTTCCACACTTAGTTTTTGGATCTAAGAACAAGCCATGATTATATTGAGCCCATGCACTAACTGTTCATGCAAAAAAAAGGCTTAGAAATTGCCTTGTATCTGAAAAACAAAATGAAAAGTTGAGGTTTTGTTGGGCAATGCTCAAGTGTTTAGTCATGGGACAATAGTTGACATACTATAACTTCCCAACCACTTGGATTTTGGATATGAGCACAAGCCATGATGCTCTTGAGGCCATACACTAGCTATGTATGCAAAGGGAAAGAGTTTTTATGAATAAGATCCTAAATGAAAAAACAGGTTGTTGTTTGGTGGGGTACCACTCAAGAACTTGGACATGCAAAAACGCTTGAGATACCATAACATCCCACACACCTGGGTTTTGCATCCGAGCATATGCCAGCATGCTCTTGAGCCCATACACTAACCATGCATGCAAAAAGCAAGATGTTTGAGCACGCTCAATAGCAAGATAACCAAGTTGAGGTCTCGTAGGAAAATGCTCAAGTACTGGAAAAAGGAACACATACAATACCATAACTTTTTGCACACTTAGGTTTTGGATCTGAGCACAAGCCACGATTATCTTGAGCCCATGCACTAACTGTTCATGCAAAACAAAGGCTTAGAAATTGCTTTGTATCTGAAAAAAAAAAAAAAAAGTTGAGGTTTTGTTGGGCAATGCTCAAGTGTTTAGTCATGGGACAATAGTTGACATACTATAACTTCCCAACCACTTGGATTTTGGATCTGAGCACAAGCCATGATGCTCTTGAGGCCATACACTAGCTATGTATGCAAAGGGAAAGAGTTTTTGTGAACAAGATCTTAAATGAAAAACCAGGTTGTTGTTTGGTGGGGTACCACTCAAGAAATTGGACAAGCGAAAACGCTCGAGATACCATAACATCCCACACACCTGGTCGAAAAGGGCATCGGTCGAAAAGGGCACCGGTCGAAAAGCAAGCCGGTCGAAAAGCGCACCGGTTGAAAAGCGCACCGGTCGAAAAGGGCACCGATCGAAAAGCGCACCGATCGAAAAGCGCACCGGTCGAAAAGCACACCGGTCGAAAACCGCACTGGTCAAATAGCGCACCGGTCGTAACGAGCACCGGTCGAAAAGCGCACCGGTCGAAAAGCGCACCGGTCAAAACGGGCACCAGTCGACAAGCGCACCGGTCGAAAAGCGCACCGGTCGAAAAGAGCACCGGTCAAAAAGGGCATCGGTCGAAAAGGGCACCGGTCGAAAAGCGCACCGGTCGAAAAGCGCACCGGTCAAAAAGCGCACCGGTCGATAAGGGCACCGGTCGAAAAGCGCACCGGTCGAAAAGGGCACCTGTCGAAAAGGGCACCGGTCGAAAAGGGCACCGGTCGAAAAGCGCACTGGTCGAAAAGGGCACCGGTCGAAAAGGGCACCGGTCGAAAAGCGCACCGATCGAAAAGCGCACCGGTCGAAAAGCACACCGGTCGAAAAGCGCACTGGTCGAAAATGGCACGGGTCGAAACGGGCACCCGTCCAAGAGCGAACCGGTCGAAAAGCGCACCGGTCGATAAGGGCACCGGTCGAAAAGCGCAGTGGTCAAATAGCGCACCGGTCGAAAAGCGCACCGGTCGAAACGGGCACCGGTCGACAAGTGCACCGGTCGAAAAGCGCACCGGTCGAAAAGAGCACTGGTCAAAAAGCGCACCGGTCGAAAAGCGCATCGGTCGAAAAGCGCACCGGTCGAAAAGCACACCGGTCGAAAAGTGCACCGGTCGAAAAGCGCACCGGTCGAAAAGCGCACTGGTCGAAAAGGGCACCGGTCGAAAAGGGCACCGGTCGAAAAGCGCACCGATCGAAAAGCGCACCGGTCGAAAAGCACACCGGTCGAAAAGCGCACAGGTCGAAAATGGCACGGGTCGAAACGGGCACCCGTCCAAGAGCGAACCGGTCGAAAAGCGCACCGGTCGATAAGGGCACCGGTCGAAAAGCGCAGTGGTCAAATAGCGCACCGGTCGAAAAGCGCACCGGTCGAAACGGGCACCGGTCGACAAGTGCACCGGTCGAAAAGCGCACCGGTCGAAAAGAGCACTGGTCAAAAAGCGCACCGGTCGAAAAGCGCATCGGTCGAAAAGCGCACCGGTCGAAAAGCACACCGGTCGAAAAGTGCACCGGTCGAAAAGCGCACCGGTCGAAAAGCGCACTGGTCGAAAAGGGCACCGGTCGAAAAGGGCACCGGTCGAAAAGCGCACCGATCGAAAAGCGCACCGGTCGAAAAGCACACCGGTCGAAAAGCGCACAGGTCGAAAATGGCACGGGTCGAAACGGGCACCCGTCCAAGAGCGAACCGGTCGAAAAGCGCACCGGTCGATAAGGGCACCGGTCGAAAAGCGCAGTGGTCAAATAGCGCACCGGTCGAAAAGCGCACCGGTCGAAACGGGCACCGGTCGACAAGTGCACCGGTCGAAAAGCGCACCGGTCGAAAAGAGCACTGGTCAAAAAGCGCACCGGTCGAAAAGCGCATCGGTCGAAAAGCGCACCGGTCGAAAAGCACACCGGTCGAAAAGTGCACCGGTCGAAAAGCGCACCGGTCGAAAAGCGCACCGGTCAAAAAGGGCACCGGTCGAAAAGGGCACTGGTCGAAAAGGGCACCGGTCGAAAAGCGCACCCGGTCAAAAAGCGCACCGGTCGAAAAGTGCACTGGTCGAAAAGGGCACTGGTCGAAAAGCGCACCGGTCGAAAAGGGCACCGGTCGAAAAGGGCACCGGTCGAAACGGGCACGGGTCGAAAAGCGCACCGGTCGAAAAGGGCACCGGTCGAAAAGGGCACCGGTCAAAAAGGGCACCGGTCAAAAAGGGCACCAGTCGAAAAGCGCACCGGTCGAAAAGCGCACCGGTCGAAAAGCACACCGGTCGAAAAGTGCACCGGTCGAAAAGCGCACCGGTCGAAAAGCGCACCGGTCAAAAAGGGCACCGGTCGAAAAGGGCACTGGTCGAAAAGGGCACTGGTCGAAAAGCGCACCCGGTCAAAAAGCGCACCGGTCGAAAAGTGCACCGGTCGAAAAACGCACCGGTCGAAAAGGGCACCGGTAGAAAAGGGCACCGGTCGAAAAGCGCACCAGTCGAAACGGGCACGGGTCGAAAAGGGCACCGGTGGAAAGCGCACCAGTCGAAAAGCGCACCTGTCGAAAAGGGCACCGGTCGAAACGGTCACCCGTCCCAAAGGGCACCGGTCGAAAAGCGCACCGGTCGAAAAGCGTACCGGTCGAAAAGCGCACCGGTCGAAAAGCGCACCCATCGAAAAGGGCACTGGTCGAAAAGGGCACCGGTCGAAAAGGGCACCAGTCGAAAAGCGCACCGGTCGAAAAGGGCACCGGTCGAAAAGGGCACCAATCGAAAAGCGCACCGGTCGAAAAGCGCACCGGTCGAAAAGGGCACCGGTCGAAACGGGCCCCGGTCGAAAAGGGCACCGGTCGAAAAGGGCACCGGTCGAAAAGGGCATCGGTCAAAAAGGGCACCGGTTGAAAAGGGCACCGGTCGAAAAGCGCACCGGTCGAAAAGCGCACCGGTCGAAAAGCGCAGCGGTCGAAAAGGGCACCGGTCGAAAATCGCACCGGTCGAAAAGCGCACCGGTCGAAAAGGGCACCGGTCGAAAGGGCACCGGTCGAAAAGCGCACCGGTCGAAAAAATCACCGGTCGAAAAGGGCACCGGTCGAAAAGGGCACCGGTCGAAAAGCGCACCGGTCGAAAAACGCACCGGTCGAAAAGGGCACCGGTTGAAATGGGCACCGGTCGAAAAGGGCACCGGTCAAAAAACGCACCGGTCAAAAAGCGCACCGGTCGAAAAGCGCACCGGTCGAAAAGCGCACCGGTCGAAAAGGGCACCGGTCGAAACGGGCCCCGGTCGTAAGGGGCACCGGTCGAAAGGGGCACCCGTCGAAAAGGGCTCCGGTCGAAAAAATCACCGGTTGAAAAGGGCACCGGTCGAAAAGGGCTCCGGACGAAAAGCGCACTGGTCGAAAAGGGCACCGGTCGAAACAGGCCCCGGTCGAAACGGGCACCGGTCGAAAAGGGCACCCGTCGAAAAGGGCACCGGTCGAAAAGCGCACCGGTCGAAAAGCGCACCGGTCGAAAACTGCACCGGTCGAAAAGGGCACCGGTCGAAAAGCGCACCCGTCCAAAAGGGCACTGGTCGAAAAGCGCACCGGTCGAAAAGCGCACCGGTCGAAAAGCGCACCGGTCGAAAAGGGCACCGGTCGAAAAGGGCACCGGTCGAAATGGGCACCGGTCGAAAAGGGCACCGGTTAAAAAAC